TTTTTCCCCTCTCACTCCAGCCAGGAACAGAGGGGCAGCCATCCAGGGCTTCTCACCTGCTTATGGAAAGCCAGGATCCCAGAGGGCAGCAAGGCTCCCATCAGGTCTCTGGCTTAGAGCAGAGACTGGACAGCCCCGCATGAAATTAACAATGACAGCCAACAGCTGATGTAAGGAACAAAGCGCACAGAACCTGCATCACCTTAACTACACTGACATAAGTCCTACTCCTCTCATTGAGGTAGTTTTGTTCTGTTGGCCTAGCAAAGGCGTTACAACAGTGGGAGGAGCTGTTCACGGTGCATCCCTCCATTGTTTTGTCCACAGAAGCTAACTTTTGTCAACAAAACTGTGCAAGTGTAGACAAGGTCTTAAAGTGTGAACATTGTAGAATTTCTTACTGAGATAGGAAACCATATGAGAGCAGAGAAGGAACAGAGGTACAGCCAGCCCTGTAAGTTTGTAGCCACTCTGTGCTCAATTCAGAGGTGAGGGTTCCAGCAATTGATTGACTGAGCCCTGGATATTACCTAGCAATTGGCAGACTCCTCCTGCCCTGCTAAGCCTTCATTGAGTAGACAGTATAACTGTGGTTTCCTTGGCAGCTTTGCTCTCTGCATATGAGTTTTTTAATGTTAAAATGCTTACATGTCTGTATGTTCCCATTTGGGGAACAAACGTAATCAGTGGTACAAGCCCCCTTTCTGAACTAATTTATAAATTGTAGCAGTTGCTATCTTTTTAAATATTTTTTTTCACAATAATTTAATTTAGCAAGGATTAAACAGCTAATTTTGCCAATCAGAGCCCAGGAAGCAAGGCTACAATGAAATTGCCTTTTTCTACAGGTAATTATTTGCATGTTTATTACAGTTTAAGTGACTTTGATACAACTGATGGTAATTCCATACACCCCCAAAGAAGTAGGAAGGAAGTCTGATGTTACATGCAAAAGCTATAACTGCTCCATTTCATTTGTGACCTGATGTAAGATTGCTTCTATTATACAGGTCAACAAGCAGCTAAATGTTCAAAGCTCTTTGTCTGGGTAACTACATTCTGGGATGCAGCAGAAATTTGTCCATGTGCTTAAGGAAGCAAAAGCTCATAGAACTAGTCCAAGAATGAATAAGTGGAATGGTTAAAAGACCATTGAATTATCAGAACAATAGAGCTGTTAAATAACTTTTTAGGAACTATATAATGTGAGTTGTTTACACAGCGTAAATTGTCAACTCCCTCCACAAAATATTTCAGAAAAATTGAACCAAGCATGCCAGATCTTGTTTTCACAAATGTCCTACTGGCTTTTTCTTATGCAAAAAACAAACATACATAGGGATGATTCAGATTTGAAGTCCACCTTATCCAAGCTATCAAAGGTCAAAAGTGATAGAGGCTGGGAGTGTCAGTAAACATTTGCTTCTTTTCAATCTACAGTCTTGGGTGCTTGCAATTTAAAGAAATTGAGCTAAGGAATACATAGCAAAATTTTAAACTGACTGGATTATCTAGAAATATCCCATGACAGGGAACAAAAGGTCTGCTTGCTTTCCAGAAAGCTGGGAATTAATGTCCTGCTTATACCTTGCATAAGTGTACCAGACTGTGGCATTGAAAGCCTAATTACAGGTTCTGAGGATCTAAAGGCATCTTGACATTATCTGCTAATTGCCAGAAGGAGAAAGGGGCTTTGAGGATATGTCTACATTTAAAACGCTGCATCTGAACCTCTGTAGTGCTTCAGGATAGACACTACTGCAATAGAGGACATTTCCCCATTACTGTAGTTAATGTGCCTCTCCAAGAGCTGGATGGAAGAATTCTTCCTTCAACTTCGCACCATTTACTCGGGGCACAGGGGAGGGGTGGAAGGGAAGAGGGAGGGATGTCAACATAGTCACATCTCTCAGGGGCATGGATTTTTGATACCTCTGAGATATGGAGATATGCTGATATAAAGTCCCAGGGCAGATCAGATCTGAGCTCGCAGAATTTCTGTTTTACAGTGCTGGACATAAGATCAGATTTCTCAGTATGGCATTCAGTTATTTTAAATGATGTTGGTTTTGTTTTTCTAGCTCCAAACAATGCACTCTACAAACCCCAAGAGCATAACCTTAAAGGAGAAATTTGCTAGATGACTTTTTTTTTCAACTAAGTTGATGGCTGATCCACACCATCAACTTGCAGGTCCATTTTAATTAAAAATTGAAAGATTGTTCCTGAATTCCCTCACCCAGCGAGACAAATCACAATCATGCTCTTTAACTCCATATACAGAAGCATTTGAAAATCTAACATCACTGAAACATATCTCTCCCTGAGCTGTTATCTCATCTAGCTTGTAGATAGGACCGAACCGACGCTAGACCTAACAGATGCCAGTAAATCAAATGCCAGTTCTGGCCAAGGCTATGTTAGCTAAGAACTGACATTCATATTTCAAAATAGGTATTAGTGTTATAAGAATGTATTCAGTATTAAGATCTATGAAAGGTGGGTAAAATGTTGCATGGATAAATTTTACTTGTAATGTCTGTATTCAGTGTTTTAAGGAAATAAGTAAGTTTTGCTTTATAACTTTGAAATTGTTTGCTCTGAGATTGTGAACCCATGCATGGAAATCTTCTCCCCCATCCCACCCCCATGCCCATCCAGGGGAACTATCAAAAATTAAGTGGGCCATTATAAGACAAAGTTATGTTAATTGCCCTATCCACCCATGGAGAAGTAAACACAGAAGACTTCATCCCACCAGTTTAAATGTGGGAAGAGGATAAAATATTTGACTTGAAGATTTTTCATCTCTTAGCTATTTGAATTCTCACAAGACCAGTGACATTAAACTAAGGCAAAGATACCCAGTGGTTACTCTTGTATATTGCTTGAAAAGACGTTCTGAATTGACAGATTACCACATCTCTGGTATTTTTAGGAATCATAGGCACTAATTCATTTGTATGCCTATACTTGGTTTGCATTAACTAGTAAATAACTTTCTTTTTTTCCTAGTAAATACTTTCTAGTTAAAAACTTTTTTTTCTTTTTCTTAATAAACCCTTTGGGTAGCTTATTACAGGATTGGCTTCAAGGGTCATCTAGGGTTGTTGGGACCTAAAAGTGGGTCACCAGAATGTTTCAACAAAAACAAGGAGGCCGGTGGCACTTTAAAGACTAACAAACTTACAAGTATAAGCTTTTGTGTGTGATTCCTGTGGGTCCAGGCTAATAGGACAAGCTGGCTCCCCTCCTTGCTATAGGCATTTCCACCCCGGAGTCCCAGCACCACTCAGGTTTAGCCCAGATGTGAGTTCGGGTAGGCTTGCATGTGAGTAGGAAGGCATAGTATTGTTCACTGGGCACAGAGGCGGGCTTCCTGGTTGTTTGAAGGTTCACAAGCTGGGCTTTGGTGGTGAAGGAGTCCTGAGCTGGCATGAGTTCACAAGGAGGGCCTTGTTATGGGGATAGATAATGCCAGGTCAGTACGGCACCAGATATGATTGTGGTTCACCTCAGCAAAAATGGCTTGGGCACGGGTACCAGAGAGGATTTAATGATCAAAACAAAGAGGGACATGGGGCAAATTCTGGAACTTTTCCCAGAAGTAAAAATTAATTGATGAGACATGTTGCAATGCAGGCTATAGCAAGGAGCTTTTAAGCACCTGTGCATTGAAAAAGACTAGGAGATATGTGAACACAGAGGTGGCCAAATTCAGTGGGGAGGGGCTCATATTTCTCATCTTGGCATGGTATATGGGGCATCAGAATGATTTAGGGAGGGTGGGGTCCACCTGTTAGATTTGGAAGCTGATACCTTTTTAGCCTATCAAGAAAAGTCTGGGATTCCAACTAGGTCTGCAGGGAAGGCAGCCAAGCTAATTGCTATCCCCTCCTTGCTGCAGATGCCCAGTGAAGGTACTCTGGAGGGAATGAATATGGTGATTAGAAAGCAAATGGATTGAGAAGTGGTTTAAAGGGGGTATTCTTTGATAGAGCTTGTGATGGGGCATCTCCCCTATACTTACATATAAGGGTTAATACAGCCTTGAGGAGACTGTGAGGGGAAGCAGCCAATAGGAGAGAGGCTATAAGGAATAGCCAATTGGGGACCAGCAGACCCATATAAGAAGAGCTGCAGGGCAGCAGAGAATCAGTAGCTGCCCGGAGGTTGAGGAAAGAAGATTGTGTCCCTAATTAGGCTGTAACCTTGTAGCACCTTGGACAGCACAGTGCAGGCAGGGATCCTGGAGGTAGAGAAGATGCTCCAGATGAGCTGCTAGGATTGAGTACGGTATGTGGCTGCAGGGAAGCAGCCTTGGGAAATGCAGCACTTGTCAAGGTAAAGGAATGCAGTGACTGTGGTTCAGAGGTTCCCTGGGTTAAAACTCAGACCCTCGACTTGCTGCTGAGGAAAGGGCTGGACAGGGGGATGGCTGTGCTAAACTCCAGAAGTGGGGAGTACATCTGGGGACACAGCCAGAGGGCCATGTGATGAAGAGAGCACTGCAATCCCTGGAGTGATGCAGGTCAGAGCAGATGTGACAGTGAATGAGGCACCATCAGGAGGGGCATACCAATC